TTGAACTCACTGTGTAGCCTACGTTGGCCTCAAACTCACTGTCTTCCTGCCCTAGTCTCTGGGGTTCTGAGATTACAAGTATGTGTAACTACACATGGTTATTTTCAATTTTTATAACAAATACTTTATTTCTATTTATTTATTTTAATGAGAATTAAAAAGAACAATAGCAAAATGCCAACAACATAAACAAAATCAAAACAAAGCAAAAACAATAAGAATGATATAGAGTTTCAGAACAAAATGATAGGGATTGTTATATTACATATTTTTATCTTCATCGAAGTTGGTCAGATTACCAGATGTTAGAATGCAAGATTAATCAAACCATTAAAGAGAATAAAAAATAAAAACAAATACTCTGTAGTTCTTTTTTTCCTGTTTTATTTTTTTGGTACCGGGAATCAAACTCATTACCTCAGGCTTTCTAGCCAAGTACTTATGCCGCTGAGCTATATCCCTGGCCTTCCTGTTTTATCTACAGAAAAAAATACTCTAAGTCTTCTGTCCTCTATTAAAAAAAAAAACTTTACAGGGAGATAGCTCAGCAGCGCAGTGCCTGCCTGGCAAGTGCAAGGTGCTGAGTTCAATTCCCAGTACCAAAAAATAATAATAATAATTTTAAAAACCCAGAACTTTTTTAAAATTTTAAATAAATAGACACGTACTTACCAATGTGCAGAACTTTAGAGGATTTTACATCTTACTGTGTTTGTGTAGGAATATATACCTGTGGACTCCTGAAGTACATAACCCAAAGAGGTGTGTGTGAAACCTTCTGTTGTTTTAGTTGGGAGTTGCTCCCCTGCAATACAATGTTTCTTCTCTTCTAGTTAAAATATACTCGACCTGGGCTGCCTACTTTCAGCCAGGAAGTACTACACAAGTGGAAGACAGATATCAAGAAGTATCATCGCATTCAGTGTCCTAACCAGGTGATTCTTTGTCTTTCATTTATTCAATGAACATTGTACAAGTGTCTACTCTGGTTTTCAGTTATTTCTTCATGATGAAGCACTTGGCAGTGTAGGTGCTTAAAGCAACAGTGATTTTATTTGTTGACATTTCTGCAGATTAATAATTCTGTCAGAGGTGGGTGAACAGGAAACCAGTCCTACTGTGTGTGGCCTCAGCTGGGATCATTCTTGAGCTCTAGCTAGATGGAATTGTAATCTCCAAGATGGCTTTTGTGCTTTTGCATTTATTTATTTATTTAATTTTAAAGAGTAAAAGAAGGATAACATAATAATAGGAAGGGCTTACCAAATTACAGACAAAGTGGTAGGAAATTATCAATGGTTATTGTTTTACATATTGTTATCTACAAGATAGTTTCTCAGGAAAACAAATAGACA